CAACTTAGAGTTCTGACTCTGATCACCATGCATGGTGCTCAGTTTCCTTGTTGTAAAGTCATGAAACAATACAGATATCTTGATGTAACTTTTCTCTCAACAACCAACATAGTCCACTTTCATTCAGTCGACACAAGAATGACGTTCGAATGGTGGTCAAGATTTGGTTGCAAGAACAGGGTCATGTACGGGCCATGATAACCTTCTCTCTGTCGATTGTATAAACACAGCTGGCCCTCTGTTGGTCCTATATGGGGTCAGCGAGTTGTTTTGACAGTGGGGGGATTTACACAAATATTTATTCACATTTAAATCTATACATATATACATTTACATTTTTCTTATTATCAGGCCTAACCCTTACCCAACTGGTCTAGTGTCTAACTGTTACAGATGACTACAACAGGCTAGAATAAGCATAAAAATACATAAATTAAAGGTCAAAACTATACTACAGAATATCTCACCTCACAGTTGCAAAGGTGGAAACAATAAAATTAATAATGGCTGAATTCCATTTAGCTGTTTCAGGCCCAGGGTCCTGGTTTTGTGCATGCTGACTCACTGTGACACTGCCATGACTTACTGGGACATCGTTAATGTTATTAGCAACACCTGTGCATTTCTTACAATGACATGTCAAAATGTCTACTATGAAAGGCAGTGGTGAAATGTAAGTACGTATATTTACTTAAGCACTGAAATAAAGTACAATTCTTTGGTATTTTTTAAGCTACTTTATACATCCACTACATTTTAGAGGGAAATATTGAACTCTGTAAAGCACCTTGGGTATGAAATGTGCTATATAAATAAATGTTCTATAAATAAATGGGCCTTGTCTGCTTTTTACTCCGCTACATTTTTACAGCTATATTTACTGTTGCCTTTGCAGACTTTACATTTTATATAGGAAACATACAATAATCACTTATGGAGGTCTTGAGTACAATTTCTTTAATCCTAGACTTTTTACCTGCACAGGAGTATTTTTATACTGTGATAGTGTCTTATACCACTGGAAAAAGGCTCATGCAATGCATAAATATGGTATATTTATATGTACATATATAGCCAACATATGAGAAGTAAATTACCCAGAAGCAGGCCGCCTTTCACATTTTACTACATATTAACCTTGATGGCATAGTGCTGGAAGACATGTGCTATGAAACTTATTTCAGTGTCGTCCTGCCACCTACAGTATGTCCACTAGGTGGCAGCACTATAGTAAACCGGAAATGTCCAACTCGTCATGTCAGTTCCTTAAAGGTTGTCGGAGTTTTGTAGTTCCTGTGTAGTTGACCTGTCAGCGTTGTAGTACAAGCTGTCACTGCTGAGAATTCGTCTACGCTTCTGGTAGTTGCCGTTTCCCCCCAGCAACACAGCGAGCACCAGGTCGTCGGACACACGGGATCCTTTGTTGCTGCTGTCAGCTAACCAGCGAGCTAACGACCAAAGTTAGCTAACAAGCCAACTAGCTCGCTAGCTAGCGTCCGACGGTAGCTAGCAGCGTTAGCTGGCTGTTTGCACTTAGCTAGCTAGCCTGCTGGCGGTACGAGGCTAGGAAGCCGCCCACTCCTGCAGAGCAGCATTCCGGACAAAAGAGTGAACGGTAAGTAAGCAGAAACTTAACGCTGCTGTCTAACGTTAGCTCACACAGCTATCCGGGGTGTGTAGATATTGATTTGTATAGATTTTTGCCAGAAGCGAAAGCGTCCAGTAACAGTTAATAAAAGCTGGATGTTGACAGTTGAGCTGCACAACCAGTGTCACTAGTACAACTCCTCTGTCAGCTGTTTGCTCACTGCGGTCACTCCTTTACTTTTGACAACTTTTGGCACATCTGTGTATGTCCCTTTGGTGCTATCTAGTTTGGGCTCATATTGCAGTAAACGAGAAAGCAGACATTGGGAACATTGTGTGAAATGCAGCTGAAGCCAGTGTTTGAGTGGTCAGGAGGCCAGAAATGGATCCCAGCGGCCAACAGCTGAACAGTTCAGTATCTAATTTATATATATATATAATATATTAATATTAAACTTTAACTGTATCTAAGGTACAATAACTGAATACAACAGGATATCCAGGCCCACACTGTTACACCCACAACTACACTTTACAGTAAACTCTGGTAGAGCTGAACAAGTATTCAGTTAATCAGTTACTCAATAGGAAATTAAATACCTGCTACTTTTGATCATTGATTAACCATTGAGTCATTTATCAAACAAAATGTGAAATATACTCTGCTTCCATGCTTGCATATAGAATATCTTTGTTTTTTTCCGACTGTTGGTTGAACTAAGAAGTTATTTTAAACTTCACTTTAGGCTCTGACGAACTGTAATGTGCACTTTTTACTATCTTTAGTTTTTTTGTTGAATTAATGATTACATTTTGTCTTACTAAATAAGGTTGCAGGGGCTATCACGAACCTCTGTTTTTAAGCATCTGGTTAAACAAGACTTGGCACTGTCCTTTTGTTGCTTTCTTATTATAGCAGCCTGTTTCAGCCAGACATGTGCTGCTCATGTAAATCTTCTCTTGTCAGTGTGTGAGAGCCCTACAGGGCTTCTCACTCTCAGTGCTCAGCTGTTGCCTAGAGAAAGAGGCAGGGGGTGGCTGGGGCAAGTGCCCAGCGATGGATCAGGTAGCTGTCACCACCAGGATTGTGTACTGCCATGTCTATCATTTGTTTTACTGAGTCACACTTACAGCAAAAGTCCAGTCATGGACTGTTAGGACTTAATTGCAAGTTAAAGAATTGACAAAGCAAGACATCTCAGAATAATATGTGTGGAATGGGGCAGAGCCTTAACCTACAACACAGGAAACATTGTAATAGGTTATTAGCAGTCGTTTGTACTGTTGCATTAAATGTTGACACATGTTAGGGTGAATATCACATTGTCTCACTGTTGTGGATGGGATCTGTGAAGGTGTTTCACACTCTGTTGAGAGAACGTAATGTGAGGTTAAAAATTCAAAGACTATTTTAGGTCCCAGTGCTGCTCTACCAGGATACACAGCACAGTTATAGACTCTACCCAGTAAGTGATCATTGAACATTTTTCAAGTATGTGTAACATTTGATGGTTCCAGCTCCTACAATGTTTGTGAATTTGTTGCTTTTCTTTGTTTCATATCATTGTAAAGAAAACATCTTTGGGTTTTTGAGTGTTAGTTGGACAAAACAAGATATTTCTCTTTTTGAGATTAATTAAGATATTAATCAGCAGATTAATCAACGATAAAAATGATTAGTTATTTTCAGCCATACTTTATCATATGTGTTACAGATATCCAGGATGTTGAGCTTGTTTATATCTTACACTTACATAAAAAATGTTTTTAAATCATTGTTTTGTTTTTGATATGCTTGATAAGAGTTTGGGATTTGGTTAAAAGCAGCACTAAACATACCAGTGTGTGTATAGTCACAAGGTACTCAGCCAGCTGGCTGTTATGTACAAAACAAAGTGAGCTGAAGTCTGGTGAAACAGGGCTGCTAATGCCAAATATGACGTTAACTTGGTCTCAGTGATACTTGATCTTTGGAAATGGCAGCAGACCAGAACAGGAATCTGAAGTGAAGGCTGGACGTGGTTCATTTTCTGTATGTTTAGAAAGGAACACTTTTTTAAAAAATGTTTTATCAGGTGGTGTTTGCTTTATTTACAGTTGACCTTTATATGTGTGCCAGTAAAAGCTACTATTTTCTTTTATCCAGTACATCCTGATGGTGCATTGAGCCAAGGCACACACTATGTTCTCCCTCTGTTACTGGGTGAAAGTTGACTCAGGATGTGTCATCTGTCACAACCCTCACTGCTTTCCGTCTGTACTGTATGCTGAATATTGTTCATGTCTGTGTGTGTGTGTGTGTGTCCCTGTATAATCATATAAGAAGATGGCAAAGCAGTGCACAGTTTACATGAAGTATGCTGTGTTAATTGCGTTTGTTTTGGCCCTTGATACAGATGGAGGCCCAAAGCTCCAGCGGACTGCTGCTGTCCAGAAAGAGGAGAAGAGAGGGCTCCAATGGGGAGACCGAGGAAGGAGAGAGGCTTGGGAAAATACCCAGATGTACTGTGGTGAGTCAGCTGTGTTCTTCGGCTGTCATTGAGCAGCGTGTTTGTCCAGCAGTTTCTATAGGCTCTGTGCATGTCTGTGATATATTGACAGACGGACAAAAAGTTAGAACATGTTTCACTTTGGTGTACAGATATAATTTTGTGTGAATAAACAGAAATCTTCCCTGAGTACTGAAATCTTCACCTTTCTGTTGGAATGGGTCTTTTTAGGGATTGAAGCACCCCGCACCTTTTGCAGATGAGCTGGAGCCAGCTGATGGACCCTATGTGAGAGTCAGCATGGAGGAGGCCAAGAAGGGAACACCACGTGAGTCTGATTCTTTCAGTCTCTATATGAACATCTCTGACAATTATAATTTCAGTCTGATTGAGACCTTTCATGTTTCCCTTTCTTTTTGTGCTTCTTCATTTTCTCCTTCTTCTTCTAATGTCAGTAAATTTCCTCTTGGTCCTAAAGGTGGTGTCAGTTGTTCTGGAGAAAGATAGTTGATTGTTAAGTCTCATGGGAATGAGACTCGTCAATCCATGATCTTTCTCCAGAACGACTGACCCTAACTTTAAGTACAGTCATACATATGAACAAACAACTACACTTTTAGATTCAGTCTATACAGTTACTTATACAATAAATAATTCATAACTTCACGTCTCATCTTGTCTCTCTCCGTCCAGCTGACAGACCGGTGCGGGTGTATGCAGATGGTATCTTCGATGTTTTCCACTCAGGTCACGCAAGAGCACTCATGCAGGCTAAGTGCCTCTTCCCAAACACACACCTCATCGTCGGAGGTAAGTGTGTGTGTCTGTCAATGTCTATGTCGATATAGACTTGCACAGAAGCAGAAGTTTTACCACCTGCTTCTTTCGTAAGTGCGAGACTCAGAAAAACAGGAAGACCATCGAGATAGTTCAGTACAAGTTTAATAAATTCAGACATCTGGGACAAGTTGGATAACTTTATAAAGTTAATTGTGGGACACTGAGTTATTGCGGGATATTCTTAGGTCTGTTTTGTACATGGGAAGGACAAACAGTGCAGTTTGTTTGTCCTCTGCTTTCCCTCCCTCCATCAGTTAATTACAGTCCCGTGTTAACCAGCCTCTTTTTTCTCTTTTGTTTAGAATTGAAATCATGGTTAAGGCATTTAAAACTTTAATTTCTGTATTTTTTTAACTGTTTAAAGTGTGCAGTGATGACCTGACCCACAAATACAAGGGCTTCACAGTGATGAATGAGGATGAGCGCTACGATGCCATTAGACATTGCCGCTATGTGGACGAAGTGGTGCGAAACGCTCCCTGGACATTATCGCCGGAGTTCCTCATAAGACATCGTGTGAGTGGATGAAACAGAGAAACACCAGAGTTAAAAGACATAAACTGTAAATGTCGAAATGTTGACCAAGAACTTATTAAGTAAAATGATCAGATATTAAGAATGAGTTGGCTGATCCTCTGTAACCGTTTCCCTGCTGGTTTTTTTGTGTGTTTTTGTTTCTGTACAATTTGTAGTTCTGAATCTACTGTGTTGATGTATGTTGTAATGACCTCTCCAGATTGACTTTGTGGCCCATGACGACATCCCATACTCCTCAGCGGGCAGTGATGACGTATACAAGCACATCAAGGAAGCTGGTGAGTGCCAGACCTGTTTTTTATAGTGTAACTTATAAATATATGGAGCATGTGTCAGTGGAAGATAGTGCTGTATATGGTCATACCAATGATTTATCATCCTAAATATGTGTTGTGTCCACATGTATTTTGCTCAAACCTTGTGCAGGGGAGTATTCAGAACATAAATCAATGCGTGCAGACTCACATGCATTTACCATATATGCAACACACACGACATGCATAAACAGCAGTTGGAAGTTAAGCAACACAAATTTAAACGAAACAAGAAGAGAAAAGAGAGACAATGAAATACCTCTGCTTCACTTCATGTAAAATCTGTGAATTAATAAAGAATTGAACATTTCACAAGTTCCGACTGTGTCCTTAAGGCATTAGATAAGAAACAAACACTATTATTTTGGCATCCTCTTTAGAAATCTAAACTGCAATCATTTGTGCAACTTTTAGCTTGTGCCTAAAGTCTTACGTACAGCTTCCCCTCAGACTGACAGCTGTACAGCAGAATCTGTTGATCACTGACCTTTTTTCATGCTCGTGACCCCCTGTGCCCTCCACAGGTATGTTCGCTCCCACCCAGCGGACAGAGGGCATCTCCACCTCTGACATCATCACACGCATAGTCCGTGACTATGACGTGTACGTCAGACGCAACCTGCAGAGAGGATACACAGCAAAGGAACTCAACGTCAGCTTCATCAATGTATGAAACGTAGCTTTGGTTTAATTGAGTGAGAGAGCTCGTAATGTGAGGGCAGTTGTGAGTGTGTGAGATTAAATCTTGTCAAATATGTGGCAGCACTGAGCTCTCCTCTTATTTTGTCGTAACCTTTGCTGTCCCCACTCCTATCAGGAGAAGAAGTACCACCTGCAGGAGCGCGTGGACAAGGTGAAGAGGAAGGTACGTGACGTGGAGGAGAAGAGCAAAGAGTTTGTCCAGAAGGTGGAGGAGAAGAGCATCGACCTCATCCAGAAATGGGAGGAGAAATCCAGGGAGTTCATCGGCAACTTCCTGCAGATGTTTGGCCCTGAGGGAGCTCTGGTGAGGATGTTGGTTTTGTTTTGTCTTTCATCGCTGTTTAATCAGGCAGTCAGACATTTACACTGTTGATGGCCAAGGAGACATGTTGCAGAGAGATAGAATAAACATAGACTTTTATTTAGAGTTAATTTACTGTACTTTTACTCTTTAAAATAGCAAAACAGTTACTGAGGTGCCCATGATTACTTGTTTAGGGCTTAAAACATAAAGTTAAGGACTTTGACTTGACACCTCATAACCAAGACCTGATACTGACCACTGACTGCCTGGAAAGTATGACAAATGTTAATCAAGTAGAAACCTGTGGTATGCTTACAGAGCCTGCAAAGTAATGTGGATGCTACTGTGACGTCTCTTTAGATCTGTGTTAGGTCATACCGACATTTGAGAGGATTTGGTTTGATTATGTTTCCATCTCACCTCTGCAGAAGCACATGCTGAAGGAAGGGAAGGGCCGCATGCTGCAGGCCATCAGCCCCCGGCAGAGCCCCAACAGCAGCCCCACCCGTGAGGAACGCTCCCCCTCTCCCACCTTCCGTCTACCCTTCTTCACCAAGACCTCCCCGCCTCCCTCGCCTCCGCCCCACCACAGCGGGGCCCGCGGATATCTCATCAGCGAGGACGACGACGAAGACGATGACGACGACGACGACGAAAACTAGAGTGTGTTTGAGTTGTTGGCTTTTGTCGGGGCCGCAGCCAGTGCTGCCAGTTAGCTGTCGAGTAATGTGGTTTTCACAGAGCTCCTGCTTCCATTGTTTTTGTTTCTGATTTTACTTTGGCATTTAGCACTTCAGTGTCACGTTAACTTGGACAGCCAGTTCCTCCACAGATCATTTTTGTCCTTTTTGTTCTTGTGTAACGGTCAGTAAAAGTTACCACTAGTCACCTGAGTTTTTGGAAAATTAGTCTCCTATATCTGAGTCACTTTTGATGTTGAGTTTATTAGTCACTTACTGTCACTTAGGAATATCTGCAGGGGTTACACTCAGTGCACTCTTTCATCTGAGACAGTATTCTTAAGGTTGGCGTTGCAGTGAGGTAGGAGTTTTTTTGTTTTTGTCATGGCTTTAGCGGGAGGGCTCGCAGGTTTTTTGGTCACTTGTTGGAACAGCACATCTAAATGTTGGTGTGGGAGAGGTGAGCTGAGACCTCGTGGAGACACGGTTGAATGTCTCCAGGGGAGGTTTTTTTAAGGGCAGGTCATAAAACTGGACATTTAAATGACCTGCTCATGTGGGGCAGTTTATATTCTGCTCATACTAACAAGAAACCAACCTGGCTTTTTTTTTCTCCTTTAAATAACAAACTCACATGGAATCTGAGGTGAATCTCAGAGTTGTTAACTGTCTACTAAACAGCAGCTTTTTCCCCTCCAAGTTTGACTGCCTGCTCTGGGGCTGTGTGTCTGTGTGTATGTGCATGTGATGTTTGTGCGTGCAAGCTCTCGCATCGGCATGTCTGAAATGTCTTCTGTCAGCATTCTCCATCTGTCGACAGGTCTGGGTTCAGTTTTGACTTCACTGCGTATAGTAATAAATTTGCTATTAAATGTTCTTTTGTCTGCTGACAAGATTCGGTCTTTGGAAGACTAGTTTCAAACTGGACACCTTTCTCGTGGCGTCAGTGACAGTCATGCAAGGATGACCCATTTCAATGTTTATGTAGAAATACTTATTTTTGTAGATTTCCTCTTTCCTTACTGTATTCTCTGTACAGATAATTCTTTTAATCATCCCTTTTTAGCAGTGATTTAACAGTCTGAGCACTGAATCAACACGAGCAAGGCTGGAGTTATATATTTTTTTGTAATGCAGATCATGAATCACCTGGGCCGTAGGGAAATAATACTTTTCATCTGGTAACAGGTGATGACAATATAATTAGCTGTATCAAAGAAGACCTGAGAACTGTCTAAATGCCCTTCTTCTTATAAGAAATGACATCATTTGGTTAGTCGGGGCGCAAGCACAAAGTAGGACTGAATTAAGGCTTCCTCATTGGTGGGCCGTCCCAAAAGCGTAGGGCTTTGGGGTTTGCACCCATTTACAGGTGAACTGTCCACACAGTTAAGAGGCGTTTTTACATTCAGGACTGCACTGTCCTATAGTGGTGTGAGGGATTCAGATTTATGCATCAGTGATACTCCAGATCAACATTTATGTAGCTACCTCCTCCTTCCCTGAACTGAATTTGTTTCTTAAGATGAGCACAAAGTCGGAGCATTATTTTTCCTTTCTGAACAGAGCCATTGTTGCAGCACTGAAGCAATGTAACTGGGTCAAATATTTGAGACTTTCCAGCCTCGTGTGCGTCCTGCATCTCAAGCGATAAAAGCATGTCTTGTGTCTCCTATATAACCGAAAAACTAAACATCACAGGTGATCTGAAGATGTAATGCAATACAGTTTGATGACACGAATATAAATGTTGGCAGGTGTCTGATCGATCTGTTCTCGGCTTGGTTTCCCAAAAGCACTCAGTTTCAATCAATCTTTGCTGCAGTGACAAAGACTGCCTCTGTTCTTGTGGATGTAAATCCGTTGGGAAAACTGAGAAGGATTCTCAGAGTAATGGACTCTACTCTTGGTATTAGTACAACTTGAGTATAATTAGCCTAGATTCTGGTGCTAAGCTACTTTTGGGAAGCCTCGCCTCTATTCTTGTGGAATCTCTTTCTTTATATCAGTGTGAACTTCTCAGAAAGAATTCTAGGTGGCAAAGACTTGAGTGGCAGGCCAATAACAGCCACTACTAGTAGAAACAAATGTAAATGTTTTTAACAGCAAGTGTTTTAATCATGTGTTATTTTTGTTTGGGGCTATTTTTGTTTAAATGTCCTGGATGTAGAGAGAGCAAGACAGGAAAAATGTATTAAACATGTTAGCCAAAGCATTTCCTGGCCTTGACCAATTATTTTGTCATCTGGCTTATTAGAACTGCAGAGGGATTTTTCTGTAATGAGCATTTATTGTTACGAGAACGGTTGGGATCAGGAAGTGTATCTTTTCAGTCTGTTGGTCACATTTGGGAACAATGCACTCAATTCAGCAGTTTCCGTTCAATATGTGAAAGAATGAAAAGGTTTTGAGCCAATATATTCGTCAAATGAAAAGGACAGGATGAAAAGTGGACTGAGCAAAGCCATGCTGCAACCACTATCCCCCAAAACCCATTGTTCCTATGCAGCCCCCTCCCACATTTATACAACATACGGAGGAAACAGTGATGCAACAGAATAAAGACGGACTGAAATAATATCAACTAAATGAAACACAGAGGGTAGAGGCAGGGTTGGTTACATAGTCAGATTTTATTGGACAGAACGGTCACCAGGGCTACAAACATGAAGAAGCAGACAGTGATGAGGCAAACACCAGGGGGAGACCTCACCTCACCTCACTGCAAACACTCCCAGTGCCAGATTTCCCAAGAGCATCTTTGAATCAAACTAGTGTGACTCAGTGCTTAAGAAACAGGAAATGTAGGTCACGTTCTAGCTTATCGGGATGATGGTCAAACCTCAAAATTATCTGGAATGTTTCCCCTATGTTTTTAACTTTACTTTGACCTTAGCTCACTGAATGCTGGTAAATCTAATGGTGGAAGAATAGCGGGGGGAAGAAGAAACAATACACTCTCCAGAAAAGTACAAAAACAGCTCGGTCACTATCAATTCCTTCTCTTTCCTAACTACCCGTAAGAGACGTTGAAATGAGACTTTTGATCCAAATGACCAAAAACACAGATGAAATATCAATCAGTCCACAATACAGAATCAGAAAATGCATCTCAATTTAAAGGGTAGACTCTACTGAGACAGAGGTTCACACACAGGAACTATATCAGGATTCATTTTAAACCACAACAGCTACAAATCATCTTACCAGTGATTACTTGAGGATTTGTGGGGCTTCTAAAAGTAACTGGAGAGAAGATAGTGGAACAATAACACTGAATAAACACGACAGGGCACCCTTTAAAAAGACACCAAAAGGTGCTTCCAGTCCTCTCCCCCTGGTCCCTACCTGCATCGCTTGTCTTTTTCTTTCGGACACCAGTTGGTTTACAGGTTTACTCATCACTACGAGATATATACGATACAATGGTTCACATTTTGCATATATCTGTGCATTATATCATATTTACTTTTTTTTAAACGATGTAAATTCAATCTCCAACACCTAGTTAGGAAGGGGTGAGGGTGGTGGAGGGGGAGAGGGGTGTATGAGAGAAGCTATAAGGTTTGAGGGGAGGAAGAGAGAGAGAGACAAAGTAGGAAGGGGGCAGAAGAAAAAAATCTTAACAAGATAGATGGGAGGAGAAGTGGTCAGTTCGCTGCCTGGTGGGGTTGAACTTTAGCAGCGCGTTTCGTAGATGCCGGAGCGGCCGATGTACCGCACCCATTTTATGACATCGTGGTCACTGTAGTTGAGCTTAGACTCAAACACCTTCAAGTAACGCACCTTCAGACCGGAGGGAGCAAAAGGAACCTGCAGAGACAAGACGAGGGAGGTTACGGACGTGTCAGGGCATGCTGGGAGCTGTAGGCCACACAGGTTGCCGAGTTCTTCCTACGAGCTCTGAGCAGGAAGTGTGTGTGTGTGTGTGTGTGTGTGTGTGTGTGTGTGTGTATGTATGTGTGTGTGTGTGTGTGTGTGTGTGTGTGTGTGTGTGTGTGTGTGTGTGTGTCAGTAAGCAGATTGTGTTTGATACCAGTACCACTTTTTAGAGCATGTGTGACAGAGGAAGGCAGAGACTAAACTATTAATGGGTTCTGACCTCAAAGTTCATAGAGATGGGAGGCCTGGCCCATTTCTTCTTATCGTTGGTCGGCAGCAGCTCGATCTCAGCGCTGATCTGAGACTCCTTCATCCCAGCCATGCGTTTGATCCTACGCACACACAGACACACAGTACAGCTTTGTTAGTGTCGTATATATATATATATATATATATATATATATATATATATATATATATATATATATATAAAAAAATAAATAAATAAATAAGGGCCAAGTAGAGGATTGTGTATGTGAGGTTAAACAAACAAAGCCACCAAAGAGAAGCTGTTAATCTTTAACTTGACACACACACACACACACAGAGAATACAAACTGAGTTTGGTTGTATATGAATATATGAGCTACTACTCACTTCCAGACAATGGCGTTCTCACTGGCCTTATACTTGGCTTTTCCCTTCATACAAATCACCTGCACACCGCTGGTGTTGAGGGGTGTTGGGATACGCACCTGAGGAATTGATAATGAAGATGAACAAAACCTTTAATATTAAAGCAATCAAAACAGGGGGGGACTCCTGAGTGTCTCTGATTACATTTGATCATGTATAAAGTTGTAACTGCTGTAATGTGAGGAAACTGTTCAGTAAGTAATGGTCTGTGCTGCTATTGCCTGCATTTATCATCATCCTGACTATAACAAGAGCTCACCTCGATCTTTTGGGCCAGCAGCGAGGGTTTGAAGTTGGACTTGATGACCACCTTGACCTCCAGTTTAGTGCGTCCAACCTCCCTGACCAGAGGAATAACTCGGAACGGCAGGATGATGTCTTTAGTGGTGCGATACCTGCAGGAAGGAGAAGAGAAAAAACGCTCAATGTAAAAAAATAATTTTAATAAAATTCTTATTGTTTGTTTGTCCATCTATGCCTTTCTCAATCAATCAGTGCTTAAAACTATTTATTTAAAGACAGAATGGACACAAACTAGAGTACGTTATATGCTTTTAATATGGTTTTCATACTAAAGCGTTTGCCCTGTGACCTCGCAAACTATTCTAGCACATTCTGCTCTCAGGTTAATAATAAAGAAAAGCTTTAAAAAACATTGAAGAAGAACTCCATCTACTGACCTCATGAGCTCATACTCTCCATCAGGGGGGATGAAGCTGATGCTACGCTCTGAGTCAAACTTACTGAGGCGCACACACTGGTGAAAAGTGCAGTCGTCGATGGCTATGGACTGCTTCCCACTGCCGGGAGAAAAAACACATCAGAGACACACACAAAAGAGACGAAAGAATATTAGTTCACTTGTTTATTGTTAAAAATGAGATGTAAATTATGACAACGATTCTTCTAAAGTTAAAACTACTACTCTCCCTAAACTAATGTTCATGGTTTAAAAAAAAAAAAAAAAGATACGAGTACACAAAAAAGGGACACAACTGCTAGTATCAAGACATAAAAACTAAAATATAAAAATGACACTACGGTGCAATAAAACAAATCACAATCTCTGTTAGGTGTTTGGGTAAAGAGTTAAAACTCAAGCAGGAAGGTGTGGGCTAATAAAACAAACCAACCATTCCACAGTATAGGCAAACAACCACCCAGCAAGTACACTGAAGTGTTAACAGGGCGTGTTTGATTTGTATTGAGTGTGTGGGGAGTAACAGTGCATGAGATGTTCAGATTCTTAATGTGCTTAAGGGCTTAGACAAGACAGGTGTGTGTCAGTGTGTGTGTGTGTGTGTGTGTGTGTGTGTGTGTGTGTGTGTGTGTGTGTGTGTGTGTGTGTGTGTGTGTGTGTGTGTGTGTATTTGAAGGTGGCAGAGGGTGAGGACACTTGTCAGTACAGTACCTTCCTCCCCCTAAATCACTGAGGTACAGCACATAGAAAAGAAAGAGAGGGAAAGAAAGGAGAGATGCATCCAAAAGGAAAGAAAAAAATTCAAAGTAAATTGTAAAGCCTGTCTTGTTGTAAACAGCAAGACAACACTCATAACACAGACACGGGGCTAACAGACAAGGTGGTCTTTTAAAAATTGACTCAATACATTTCCTGCTCAGGGTTTTCAAGATGAGAACATAAAAGCACTGATCTCAATAAAACAGATCACCTAAAATCATTTCCAACCTTGTTTATCAAAGTATGGTTGATGTTAGATATTTAAATTTGCCGTCCTCGTTATGTCACTCACCTCTTTCCTGCTTCGTCAGAGGCTCCTCCCTTGCCCTGCTTGTCGATGACAATCTTGTCGTTCATGCCAAATTTGCACTCGGGCATTCCACTCAGGTAGCTCTTCATAACTACTCGGCCCGACACGTGCGCGCTCAGGACCTGGCCTGGATAGGGGAAAGAATGCTGACAGGTCTAATTCTGCTTAACAGAAAAATGCAACACTGATAACGACAATCAAAACACCAGATTGGAGTTGGAGATTGGAAATCACCTTTCAAAATAAATAATCTTTTTTTTTTATAAAAGCTGTAAAACTCAACAACAAAATGTGCTGTCATGAGTAGTGTTTTTAAGCACAAAGCACAAACTGTCCGCTATTCTGATTTATTATCATTTAATTTTCTCTCTGTAGCTGAAACTGTAAAGTCCCTCCAACAACATCTGCTGAGGAACATGTGTGTGTGATATGATCAAAAGCACCATGACAGCAACTAAAAGGACCTTGTAGTCTTGACAACTTCTGTTTCCAAGGTTAAGAATGAACTTTCGATCTCAACGTTTATGCCACCATGGACAGGAAATCTTTAATTTCTCAGAAATTTCAACATCTGCTGCTGCTGAAAGCCCCAGAACAGCTACTAAATGGACCCTGTGGTGAATGTGTTGTCATTCCCTGGCTAATAACAGACACATTTGTGCTAAAGGAGTGTTTATCTCTGATCTGACCAATATAAAGTAATAAATAAAAATTATTAACAAGGAGAGACATGAAACACAAAACTCTCAACTGCTGTCACTAGTTGTTCTGAATGATACAAATTCAATAAATCATTGATGTCTGCAGACCCCACCCAGTTTGTGGAGGCCGTTTAAACAGACCTTGAGGTGACATGAGCAGGTTGACGCTCTCCAGTACATCCAGGAAAAGCTCATTGCGGCGATACTTGATGCCCTCGCGACGCCAGCCGATCTGCCCCGTCACCTGGCTGGTGATCTGAGACTGCTCCTCTTTTGTCTGGGAGACAGGGAGAGAAACTGTATCACTACTGACAAAAGGAGAGGGCTGACAGACTGACAAAAGAAGGAAGGCAATGAAAAGGGATCATTAGCACTACAGGGAGGCTGTAAAACAAATATGACACGGCCCCATAGGGGGAGAAAATGAATTTCTTGAGCTAGAATCTGTGTGTTGTTTATTACCTGGTGCTGAATTATGAAGTGTCCAAGACAGCATGTTGGGGGGAGCAGGGAGAGAAAACATAAACATAACATATAATTTAAACTATATAGATAACAATAGATATACATTTATTTCACATATATACCAGGAAGATGCCAATCAATTTGTGGGGGGGGGGGGGTTGCACACACAACGTCATAACAATGACTGTCTGCGATTCCAGTATTTACATTTTTCTGCACAATACATTGTTTGGGGGGGGACGACACACACTAAAGGAGCCGATCACATTCAGTTTAAATTTTGGCAGATAAAAAGCTCAGCAAAACAAAACAGTTTACCTCTAATATTTGTGTCGAACAGTATTTTGTATCATTAACTAAATCACAGTGTCAGTTATTGCTCGTTTGACTTGCAGCACTTTGCTTTAAAGAATGCTGTTCCAGTGTAATGAAATGTTTAGTTTACTTGATAAAAATGTCTTTATCCACCTAATCCTGATTGAGCAAACTGACATCCCCATAAAGCAATGTATTTATTACCCATCTATCACTTGTGATTCTCAAGGTCCTGAGTTATATAGTCAGTCTACCCTCTCTGATATAAACAGGGTACATAAATCAATTGTATGATGCAATACAATTCAACAGCAGCACAAACTACAGCCTCCAAGATAACCATAAAGTTGAATCAACACCACTCTGAAACTGTTACAACATGAACTGAACATTACAACCTTCGTAAACTTGTCTTACTGACCTGTCCCTTAATGCCCTGCTGGGTGATGAAGGTCTTCAGAGCTCCTGTCTCTGAGTTCTGGGGGTAGCCAAAGTCCAGGATCTCTGTATGAACAAACAAGGACAGATAACTGTCGGTAAGAGATAAGATGGGTACGAAAAAAAATAAAAAAACTAGGACAGGTAGTGATGCAAAGAATCAGCATTGACTGAGTGAGACATTATATTAATTTCTATCTGCACTTGACCAATTTATAGTCTGCTGTTGCAGGTTAATCGCACGTCATCACTATTCACACAAGATACTTTAATATACATCACTGCTTAACTACAGAAGAATATTAGATTAATATAATTATGCAGAAGACAATTGTCGGCTTTTAGTTCATAAAAAAAATGGATACTATAGCCGGTGGGGTAATATTCTGCAACGTTTCTCTTGTTTGGCCCCTTAAGAACAGTTAATGCAACCTACAATCATAATTACATATGAGATTTAAACTAGAACTCAGGTTTAACCGTCACTATCAATATCTACATGCAATAATTTGATTCTATATGCTCAAGAGCTGCCTGTTCTCAGATTCATCTAATTATATTTTGGATAATGCAATTAATCCCCCACACAAACATTATCCTCTCCTACCGTCCAGCAGCTCGTAGATGAGCACAAAGTTGTTCTTGATGTTCTCCTCGCTGATCTTGCCAAAGTAGGCCGTCATGACGTCACACATCTTGTAGAGGAACTCGAACACCATGGCGGCGTTGACATTCTGCTTGGTGACCGCCGCCAACCAGATGTTGGAGCGCTTGACATGAAAGAAGCTGGTGCGTGCAATGTTGGTCACCGGGGATCGAACCTGCTGCCGGGCGTGAATCACGTTCACACGGAACGCATCCACCGCATTACGCCTGAAATGGGAGGGAGGGCGAGAAAATAATAAAAGAGAGACACGTTTATGTTGGGAGTTGAGAGAACAGTGAGACTGATGTTAACACAATCCCACCCTGTGACATCCTGTGATCATAACAATAGCATATCCAAATATCCAGTTCTGCACTGGACTCAAAATAATAACAACCCCTTCAGACCGTGACAACATATCCACATATTTAAAAGGCGAAAGTATCAAAACACTTTCCAACCAACTGGAAGAGGACACCTCGAGTTGGTGCATTTAGACGGAGAAAAGGAGTGTTGTTTTGTGTAAATGGTGATAATTACCAGGAGGGAGAAGGAAGACTCGGAGAGTTTAGGTCAACAACCAGGCAACATAATAATAACTAACTGGACTCTATGGGAACTTTTTTTTTTTTTAAACATGTACGGTACAAATATGAACTTAGTTGGTCTGTTTGGTGATTTTAAAGTTTAAGTATTTCTTAGTGCCATGATGCTTTGGGGAAACACATCCTTGCTTAATGTGGATTTAGAAATAACAGGGCTTAGTGCAGAGGATGCAGCACGTTCTGACAAGAACACCAAATCCTACTGAGAAATGCCTGAGAACATCTAGAGGCACAAACTGTCGACCTTATTCATATTTAAGAGACTTGTATTATTTATTTTATTTTAAGTTATACAATAGCTGACATATTACGTACGTACAGAGTGCATCTAAAAGTCTAATAACATACTATATTAAATGTTAGAAGAACAAGGCCGGCAGGTAAACAATTTAACCTCTCTTACTGATTCTGTGCTGATTCTACCATTTTTGAAGGGTACAATGAAGAACAAATGTACTACAAACGCACAAGAAGATACACTGAAGTTATCGTTTCTACAATGTCCTCAAAATATCGTCTGCCTGCAAGTTTAGGAAGTCAAAGGGGCGATTGCCTTGTCCATTAAACTGCTTCTATATCACAACTAAAGTATTAACAGAGAGTTGAGAGCCAAAAAAATATTGAAATGTCTGAAACAGCATTTAAGCTTTAACAGTTAATTCCAGTGAATGTTATTTAATTCAAGGCCCACTTCTACAAATGAGACCTCATAAAATGAATATGAAATGATGCAACTCATCTCTCAATTTCTTTGTGAAAAATCGACTCAAAGGATGAGGAGACTAAATTAACCATCATATCTCATGCTCAGACTACATGCTTAGGCACTGGTCGAACTGTTTGTGAGCATCATTGAAGGGTTCTGATAGTGGCTTAATTTGCTGGCTTTGATTGGCTGTTGGATCTCAGTATCTGGTGGTTTATTTACCACTGTATTGTTATGACAGGTGACTCATGCTCAGAGGAAGTATCAGGAAGTTGACTGTGGAATCAATGGGCATGCAGTTAGGGGTTTTCAGGGGGTCACTGATCGGTGGCCATGAGAGGGGAGGAGTCATGCTTGATAGGCTCGAGCATCTCTTACCTATTCCTACAGGGGCCAAGATGGACAGATGGAGGAAAATGGTGATACAGAGGATAGAGAGGAAAAAAGGATGAAGCAAAAGGAGAGTAGAGAGACAAAAATGCACAAGAGACATTTTCGTGCATCATGTACACAGACAAGGTGAGTAACATGGTGTTTATTATGACGCCATCATTGAAACCGCATAGGTCGGGAACAAGTCAGCAGCATTATATTGCGCTGTAATCTATGTTGTGTGTTATCGTCACTCTACATGGCAGGTTTGTTCATTAATTGTATCACTCTATAACATATTCAAGGGTAATTTTGGTATTTCTCAAACCTGTTTTCCCATGTTTTTGTGTCAAAGTGACAACAGTGACATCAAGTACTGATTGAAACTGGCTACAACGTATCCTTGTGGACAATTGTGCACCGTCAAAATACATCCATTAAAAGTGCTTGTTTTCACGGCTCAGAATATTATTATAAGTGTCTGACAACACGACGGTACAGAGAAATAAATGTAGTGTAGTTTGCCAGCCGGGAAGAGTTTGTTGTGTTGGAGAACAAAAAGCGTTGCTTAGTGCTCTGTAAAAGATTTCCAATGTCATGGCTGAATATTTAGCCAATTTGGTTGAGATGATTTTGTTGAACTCGATGGCAGCCTATATATATTTGCACTGGAGTGTAAGGATGAAGAGCTCTGACAAGAGTGGACAAGGAGGGGGGGCGGGGGGACAGGGGAGAATGAACTCGGGAGACTGGCGATGATTCTGTTGGTGCTGTAAACAAATGTCCACAAAGGAGATTTCACAGACTGGAGCAAGTGTAAAGTACCACAAATCTTTAATTTCTCTGTAGGGTCCTTTTCATAATGTTGTCAGACACTTATTAACACCAATCTGAGCAGGTCAGTGGCATTGCATTTGCCTGCAAGGATTACATTATAGGCCGCTTCGTGCTGCAGGCTGCAGCACTCTCACTAAATACTGGACCAAATTTAAAACTTAAATAAATCACTGACAAAAAAACAATAGGGAAATTTGGTCCAGGTTGATACAGAAGTTACCCTTTGATTATTTCAAGTGGATCAATTTCTATTTCAACTATAACTAGTGGCTCTGATCAATATAAAAAGTGCCACCACAGCTGTCAACACAACATTATAGCAAATATAATGTGTCTGGTTTATTGTGAACTGCTGCAGCAACAGAGAGGATCACCAAAAGTAACTGATGGCGGGACCACAGTGGAGATGTGTGGACACAATTTATGGATTTTCTGGTTTTCTACTAAACATAATATGAAAACTCTATGCTGTTTGCTGTGATCTTAATGAAAGTCTCACAAAATGACAGTTTTGCTTTTTTTTTTTTTACACCTTTTAGCTAAATGAACTGTGGCTATGACGGCCTGAATTCCTTTAGTATGTACTGAGTGCTATTCTGTAGTACACAGTGTAGAGCAGCTGTACTATATTTGTGCTGCTGCTAGACAAGAAAGTAGCAATGATTAAAAATAAAACAACCACAATTACATTGCTGCATTAACGCAAGACAATAGATGGAAGGGATCCATGTACACATACGTCTGTCATTTAAACAAACCTGCAGACCTTACATTCATCTATTTAATGGTGTCTCAGTCTGCTGATGCAACATCTTACACTGAACAGCTCTAAAATGGAGCATATACCGTTCTGTTCCTGACATTGTTTGTCGTCTTCTTTCTCTTTTTATCCCTACAACTACAGCAAAACTGTTCATGAGATAAAATGTTTAAAAAATGCTTTAAAAAGGTCTGCGCAAAAACAATAACTGACCGAGCACTGCTGCTGTGTACCCCCAAAACTGACACTAGGAAATCAATTTCTACCCTTGTGCCCTCTCTGTACCTTGCCAACCCTCACTGTATAAATCTACAAGGCACTGGACTGGTGTATGTCCTGGAGAGAAGCCTAACCTCAACTCAATCACTGAATATGGCTGGATTTACACAAAACAGATTGTTGGGTGTAAGCATGGAGAACTGGTAACTATATTACAAGTGAATAACATCAACAATGTGTCACAAACAAACAAATGAGGAAGAGGAAAGGGAAAGTATACGAGTCAAATCGCCACAGTATACAGTAATATATTCTTCTGGCCACACAGCTGAGTTCCTGTTCCTGTTTAGCCTTTAACCTGACACACGTGAAGTACCAAACCTTGACCCACATTGCTTACTATGTGGTTAGGCCACATGTGGCTAGGTTTTTTGCCTATTGCTCCCAGTCTACACTGGACTCAGCCACGTTTTTAGTTGTCTCTTAGTCAGCATCAATTTCCTTTTCGCCAACACCAGATCTTCAGCAGCTTTGAAGAGGCTCCTGCCTCAGCTCTCTTTAGTTTAAAGTCTCTGTGTACTTCCATATTTAAAGTGATCCATTACAACCAATTAATTATTCTTTTAAAGCCAGTTTAACAACTGGTTGTTTTGTCCCCAGCGCAGTAATAATTAACTCCCCATCCCTCCATGTCAAACCTAAGAAAATACATTTCTTTGACATAACTTAGGTATTTTCATCATTTTAAAAGGGTCAAAAGGTTCAGTTGCATACCGTTTCACTATAACAAACACTTTTATTATTCGTAAGTAAACAATATGAAGAGGTGTTTGCTATCAGTAATTAAATTACATATGGTAATAATTAAAAACTTGTGTCTTGTATCAGCACTGAGGTCAGTTTGGAAGAGCTTTTGACACAGCTGCATATGATCCTCTAAATGAAGAGGTGTGGTTAGATAAGCACAAGTGAACCGAATCATTACCTCATATGACTTTGGAAATGGTGACTGAGGACATCATTTTTCCTGATATTGTGTGTGTGTGTGTGTTTTTATAGTACCTCAGGTTTTATCCTTTATTTATTGGGAGAATCTTCATGTTCATTCGTAAATAAATGCATTTTCATGGTCATTTTATTCTAACTACAGCAAATTGTGTTTTTTGTCTAAGAGCTAGTAACACTGTGCTAAATGCAAACCTGGATTAGCAGACACATTTCAGAGGAGATAACAAAACACAAAAGGTAAACTTCTTAGCTGGTAAAGCGGGACATAATCCTCAGTCATCTGTTCAGAATCAACCCCAACCTGTCAGGCCTCCCCCCACTGGATCAGGACCTTCTCACTGACCTGAAGTCCCCCAAAATTTAGGTAGGAATGTTACAGCAGCTCTGCTCCTGTGAAACGTACCCAATGTCATCTCGGTAGACCCGGGAGATGAGGACCTCCCCCTTGTGGTTGTATATGAACAATCCTCCAATCATTGTGGCTGCTTCTCAGTCCCAACTGGCCATGGTGAAACCAAACCCCGCCTGAGAAGAGATAGAAATGGAGCGAGAGATTGCAGGGAAGGAAACAGGGAGAGGAAAAAAGGGGTGATAGATAAGTGAAAGCAGTGAAAAGTGAGGGAGTGACCAACAGTACAGGGAGGTGCTTGTCCCTCACATCCGCTTTCTCTGTCTCCCCCCACCACCCCCTCTCACACACATCACTCTATTGCCAATTGAAGATACCCTGCAGCTGCCCCACTGTGGTGACTCATTTTTTTATACATGCATATGCATATACATCCATGAACCAAATATCACTCAAATACAGGCTAAAATGACTCCACTACCACCACCCTGACCACAGTCAATTCCTTGTTTTTTTCCAAAGTAAGATTAACAGGAGATTAACAGCCGCCAGTGTGAAGCAGGATGTCACCAGGTAGCCAGCTACAAATCTGTTGCTCTTACTGGGTGCATTTACTACCAGATGCAGTCTGGATCTGATTAGACTAAACATGAAGTCAAAATTAGGATTAAAACTAAGACAGAAAAATTAATTTGGAGGCAGTGAAGATGTTATACAATTAGTGTGAAGTGTTTATGGCTTAGAGACCAACAATTCATCGGAGTTTGCCCTCATTGAAGAATGAAGCTTCTGGATACCAGGGGATGAAGGACATGCTTGAAATTCCTCGAAGACAGAGGCCAGACAACTCAAACACACGGTGCTAAGAGGAAGTATACAACACAATCATAGGCCGAACAGTAGTAAAATCATTTCCCATTTGGACACTACCGAGTCGTGACCGAATAAACCCTGCACAAGACCTGAGCGGGTTTAATCGCCCTTTTATTGGCCGAAGTCAAGATGTCTGCTCACTCGGGCCATTTCCCAACGTTCATACATTTGTCTATATATTTTCTCATTAGTTCCTCGACCGAAGAGGGACATGTATGCTTGAGACGCTTTGTTTTAAACACCCTTAAGTGGCTACAACAATTGATGGAGACTTGACCTTCAGCTAAGATCAAAGTGATGGAGAATACACCGAGTAAGAGGTAGCTAGCTAATTTAGCTTAAGATAGCTGGCTAGCTGACGGTGGTGTTCAGCGAACCAGCGTCGAGCCGTGCGGAATTTTAAATGGACTTCCGGTGCAAAGAAAATCAGACCGTTTGACGACCTTTTTAACAAGCAATACTACTAATTATATAACTAATAATATACCAATTTGAATAATTATCACCGACCAATCCCGGTGACATTAAATCGCTCATAAACTGCAGAAATTACACACAGTATGCTTTTACTTTGAAGGGGGGAGGAAACGCCTCCTTCCGTTTTATACTAGTTGCCGCTGCTAGCTTTACGTTAGCTAACGGAGCGGCAGCTAACATTGCTAACGTTAGCGTCGCCCCCGGTTAAAACCGTTTCACCGGCTTTCCTAAACGGTTAACGGGCTACAGTTCAACATTTTGACGAGAAAACGTGTGACCATCCCGACTTTGGTTGACTTACCCGAGTTCTCTCACGAACGCCACCAGTCTTTCGCTCCCCGTTTGGCTTGGATATAGCCTATATCAGGATCCAGCGGCTTCCCAGTTCACACACCCGCTAATTCCGCTCCTTCCTCCTGGTCCTCTGATAGCTGTCAGCTGACCCGCCGTCCTTACGCACAACCGTTCCGCTGTGACAGGAAAAGGCGCGGCTGGAGCGATGTGTAAACCGCACCCAGGCCTTGTTATGATAAGCTACATAAGCTACTGGTCAATTATTATTAGTGTCATGGTAGTTCATCAAGTGTTATGTTTGTGAGAGCTCTGCAGGGCAGCGCGGTGTGATAGTTCCCTTTTAAACAGTGGATTTGGGACCATGTTGGCATGTATCCAACTTACTTCATAAATGTTCTTGAGTAATATAGTGGTATTTCTTTTTAGCTGCAGAGGCAGATAGTTGCTTTTAAACTTCCACATTCAGTGAATGGGATCAAGACAACTAATTTCCGTGTATGCAAACAGGAAATGTTTGTCCTTTAAACTAATGGTTGTGTGGGTGGTCTTATTTTATTCTGTCCTGTGGAGTCCATCTGATTCGACTCTTTTTTTTGGTCCAGGTTGAATCAAATCGCCTCTCTACAGGAGCTCCCCCCCTTTTAACCACAGGGAACATTTTGCAAAGGGTCATTCAGTTTGGAGGCGAATCTAAGTGTACACAGGCTGATCTCATGCACACACACCCACAGCCCACACACACTCATCTGTGCACCAGATAGCCTAACCTTCACATTCCCGAGTTTGGACTGTCTGGCATCCACCCCCTTTTAATGCAAATATGAGCTCAGGTACCATGGAACACACACACACACACACACACACACACACACACACAACACAAACACAAACATAACACAAAGCAGCAAAGTTAAGTCATAAAACTATATTTATAAATAAAAAGACATTTTTTTTCTTGATAAAAGAGTAGTGTGAAAGACATGGTAAGAAATTTTTTTTCCACTATACATTATCACAACACAGAGTCTTAAAATGCTCTGGTTAACAGATGAAAATGCAGCTGAGTAGTGTAAAAATGACTCTTGAAGCTGGATGCTCATGTTAAGCGTTGAAAAATGAATCTAGTTGTGACCAACTACGTATATAATAAAACAAATTCATTCTTACAGTAAGAAGGACTGCAATTCTCTTGCACTACATACACATTTTTCCATTTCTTTCTCTCTTAAGTCAAGCAAACATTTAAAAAGTCTGAATAAGGTTAACAGTTAGTGTTCATGTCAGCTTTCTTTCAGGGTTTTTTTTTTTTTCCGTTAGAGGTCAGGGGGAACTGAAAGTACAGAAGGAGGGAAGAGGCTTCTTTCAGTTTTGGCGTGAACACGGGTGGGGGAGGACAGAGAATTTTAGATAAGGAAGGCAGAGAGGAGGGAAGAGTGAAGAGAACAAATGAAAAACATCCATGTAAAAAAAGGGCTGAGTCATCTTCCCCAGCTGTCCGTTTCCACTGCCTCGCCTCCCTCCCCCCCTCTCCTTCTCTTTGTCCTCATGCAAACTCTTCCCCACTGAGGAGCGGAAACTGAGAGAGGCGCTTTGGTTCCATCTTGAGCGAGGGGGTTTCTTCACTGAAGAAAGTATGACCACTACTACAAGGAAGAAAAGCACAAGAGAGGAGGAACATTTTCTCTCAGCATACACAACAGGGGTGGGTTCCATTTCTGATTTCAGGAGAGTGGAATCAAGGTCTTGGGTTACAGCTTTTGCAATCTTCCCTCCCTCCGGTCCCATCATGCTGTCCTCCTCAGCCCAATCTGCTACTTCGTTATCAGCCAACAACTTGCGTTACATCACATCAACAAAGAACTCTCCGGCATTGCCCACCGCCAGGCGCAGAGACTGGCGTGAGGCAGTGAGCTCAGGTGGCACGGAGGCGAGCTCTCTGCCCGGTGGGGCGCCAGGTGCAGCTGTAGACAGATGTGGGGGCTGGGGGGGCAGGCCAGGGGGACCATAGACAAGGCCAGGACCATATGCGATTGAGTGAGAGTTGGCACTGCGGTGGCTGACAGAGCTACGGATGCTTCGCTCACTAGGGGGAGCCACCGAGCGCTCGCTTGGAGCTCGGTGGCTCCTGACCTCAGTTTCACTGCCGCTGCCGCCGGACTTCCTACCCTCGTTCTTACTGCAGTTAGAACCACTGCTTCCTGTAGACAGAGTACAAGAGACAATGATTAATAGTGAAATACACACATTACATTTTTTACATTTAAATCTAAATGTGACCTACATGAGCCACTCACTCCCATCTGGGCGTCAGTGAAGTAACGCAGGCAGTACTGACCCAGTTTGTGGGAGACTCTCAGGAGAGCTGCATGACTAATGCAGACATGGTCACTGAGCATTCACTGCCTTTCACAGCAAAGCTTAGCTATTACTGAAGGCAATTACATGTTTTCATTTTATTACCACAAATAGCTTGCTTGCTTTTGAGGCAAATTCTTCAGTTTCTGCTTTTAAAAAGCTTTCTGACATTTTGAGAAGCAAACTCACAGACAGATTGTGAGTGTGTGAGATTGCATGTTTTAGATATGTCTAGTTCTGGGACTAGCTTACCACCAACTTTAAAATGAATAAAATACACATAACTAATATAAAACTTAACGTGTAACCTGAAGACACTATTCAGCAATAAATCCAGTGGTAGTGTGCAACCACAAAATGAGGACAGGATGTCTGAGATGTTTTGTGCAGTCAGTGTGCCCAGCTGTTGTTGGTCAGTAAATATCTCCATTGCGTAAGCAAACTGCTCCTAAAACCACAATGTCTGGTTTTCTATTTCTACACGTTAAATACACAAAATAAAAACATGCAAATAAGGTAGCTTTGGAGCTGTTCGACGGGATGTTTTTCTAAGCTGTTTCCGTCAAGTCTTTAAAGTAAGCTCATTTGAACATGCTATAACTGTATACAAAGTGTGGAGATAATATGTATGTTGATATTCTTATCTGGCTTTGGGTAAGACAGCAAACAGGCTGTCAAACCCCAAAATGATGGTGTATACCTCTGAGCAAAATGACCCTTCAGCCAAAACCTCTCTGAATTTCTTTTTCAAGTTTCTGTAGGCTTGAAAAAGAGGTTGTTAAAGGTGTGTAGTTTCTTCACAAGATATAAACCACTGTTTCTAACATGAATTCTTATCAGTTACAAAGTTTCTAATTAATGTTTTACTGTTTCTGTGTTGCTCTTGAGTAACAGCAAAAGTATCACATTTTGGTGCAGGATACAGATGGATAATGGAGAAAAGGAATCTGCAGCCATTGGAGAAGTTTCTATGAGCATTTTGATGCTTCTTCCACCATGAAAATGTCTTATCATCAAAAGTTGTTGTTACTGACATGAATTCAAGGTCTCTACTGCTGCGGTTTTTGTGAAGAACACTCGACTGTTGGTGGCGCTGAACACACACAGTATGTTGTAACTATACTCACCACTGTGCTGACTTCCTGCACTGCCTGCGCCTGGTCCACCATGGAAGGGCTGTGGCAGGTCATATGGGTGTGGAATAGGGAACTGGTAGGGCAGGGCCATGGGCCAGGGGGCTGCCCCAGGATGGGGCAGAGGAGGGAGAGTGTCCTGATCTGAGGCACCTCCGCTAGAACCATCGTGGTCATGGAGAGACAGGTGGGTCATGTCTGAGGGAGATAAAAGAAAGAACTGATTTAGACTCCCACAGTAACACCACGTTTGTAGACAGTTTGTCTTGCTTTACTCTACAGCTGACTGTATAGACATTGGGGGAAGCACAGATACTATATTATATAACATATATCACAGCAGATTAACTTACTGCCACAGAGGTCTCCAAAGATATAGTAACACTGTTCAGAGAAGGTGATCTTGTTGACAGTGTGTCGGATGTAGCCGGCCTTCAGCAGGTTGCTGGCATATTTACGGGCTTCTCTGCGATCTGAGAACCCTTCCACATGATGGAAGAGCCAGTCCACCACATCAGAACCTGACGACACAAACACAGACACATCTTAGGTACTGGACATGTGAATTTTACAGTTTTATCACGTTCTATAACTCTTTGATATAGACTAACATCCATATTTATTTATGTGACATTTTTCAGAAACTGATCAACAACAAACCCAAATATCTTTTACAGAATGAAACAAAGGAAATACTACTGCTATGATGTGCAACTTGGAGCAATACAGAAAAACTACATTAATCGATTATTGAGATTATTATTATTCATTTCTCACAATGAAAATTTTCACAAATGACAAATCAAACAATCAACAACATACAAGGCATCATTTCAGCCACATTACTGACACACAACAGAGATGGGAGTGCATGCTGATGAATGAAACAACAAATGCTGGACCACACTCTATGCTTTCACGGACATACCAATAAAGGCGTTAGCGATGGTAATCTTGAGCCACATCCTGTCCCGCACCTCCAGACCTGACTCTGGGCAGGCCATGGCCTTAGCAACGGTTGCCATATCACTGTGGATGGAGAGGTGGAAGTCATCGAATCCTGGGAAAGATCAGAGGACACACATACATTTTACCATGGGAGCTAAACCATATGATCCTGTCAGGGTTCAAATGGTTTGTGTCGGATCCGTCTCACATCTGACTTTTTTATCCCCACTGAATCCGTTCAAAAGGACAAATAATCTTGCAATTGTTTTGTTTGGTTTCCTACAAATTCAATGAAAGCACAGCTGAGTGCTGTTACTGTATCTAGACAACTCCAAAAGTGTTGGTCTGTTTTGGAATTTGCCTCGAATAACATTTGGTTTCCTGTGGTCTGGGCTGCAATTTGACCCCCGTTCTGTCTTGATCATGAATCAAACTGGATTAGGCTGGATTTTTGTTTGAATTGGACTACAACAGAGCGGGTCTTGTCAAAACCCCAACAAAACCCTAATCATATTGAATTAAATGTTCCCCTAGAATACTATTATACTGTTACACTTCATCTCACTAACGTTCACTGCATTCCTACATAATATGTTTTTAGAAAGTGTTTAGTGTTCCTCAACCTGTATAATGTACCTCTGCTTCAATCAGTGATTTCCCTTATTTCAAAGAAAAAATTTCTTTTCAGTTTGCAATAACTTATTAAGAAGCAGAAGTGAATTAATAAATGTTTTTCTAAT